GTTTTGTCTTCAAAAATGTAGCTATTGAACCCTACCTATATATAAGGTGCTTGTACACGGGGATAGTGCAGACGGCTAGTAAATCTGGCTAGTGTCGGTCGCTTGGTGACTATCCAGCTAGTAAGCCTGTACACACGAGGAGAGTATAAGGTGCCGCTAACTTCTCGTTCGCGCCCGCCAGGGAGTCGTTAGAAGCCGTCGAGTGAGGTCTGTGAAGATGGATAGTGTGATCACCTTCAACAACTCGAGTCTGTACGTCTTTTTTGTACTCCATATTCTAGCCCTTAAAAATACAGCGTCGGGAACAACTAAACCCTGACTAATAAGGTCTTCTTTCCGTTTCAAAATACTCGTTTCTCTCTTCATTTTGTTGGAGTAACCATCATGGAAAACATTATACTTTAATTCATATTTTTGGAATATTTCAAATAATAATTAAATATCGTCTGGAATCCACTTTGTTGGATTCCTCTTAGAAACATTATCGTTCAAACAAGCCATGATTCACGTGACCCAAGATACTTCACAGGAGCGGCACAGATACTCTCATCATGGCTGCATCAGCGCTACTAGCCACTCCTCCGCTCCAGCGTCCAGCCAACTTGCCAAGATATCAACACATCGTTGTCTCTCTCGGCCGCGCCTCGGGCACTTGCCGGCGCATGCCTCTGAAGCGGCTGAACCCCTATACACGAGGCACCTGCATACAGTGGAACGCTGCCATACGAACATCCTCTCGTGTTGACGAAATCGCCTTACGAACTTTCGATAAATGTGCTCCGCTGTTCAAAAAATGTGAGTGGTGCACATGATCTTTGTCAAATGTGATGTTTTCAGCACTCATGAATTGTGTTAAAGACGAGATCTAAACAGACTATCTTAGATGTAAGTTTGTTGTGAAGCGGCCGAGTGACGTAGGCGCAATACGTAACCCAAATAGAAGGCCTAAATTACACGATAGCGAAAGTGAAGTTCAACCAATATCAACTGAAGATAGTGACAGTGAATAATTCACAAATCATTTTTAGTTGGAAATTATTATACGTTATTTGATGTAATTGATATGATGTCTACCAAAAGTGGTTATTTATCTATTGATTATCTTCTCCATTGACTTTTCTAGCCTCATTGACTGTGTTAAATGAAGATATATATGCCTGTAATTTTTTGAAGATATGCCTGTAATTTAATTCTTCAATATTTCCATAAACTCATACTACAAAGGAACTAATAATCGCTAATTTGTCTGAGTTAACTTCTAATTAAATTACGTTGACATTTGTGAATGCCTTACGTTCTAGTGTAATACAATTTTTCGAAGAAAAACAAGAGAAAAGACAATACCACATGAATTTGTGGCGTACGATGAGCCTTACTAGTGCTAAGTATTCAGGCATGAGGACCAAGTTGCCTGTGCAATAAATGAATGTGCATGTGCTTACGATTCACAATGAATTGCAGAACCGCCTATGGATGAGACTGAGAGTAGTCCAACTGTCCAAGAAATGGGCAGTCAGTCGTAGATGTGCTGTGCGTGGGTATGGTGGTCGGTAGTGTGTGCTCCAAAACTTGGGTGACTGCCACGATTTTCTCGAAGCTCTCTCCCGGAAATTCTTAACTGTTTTCTCTTATTATGATGCTCGGAAATGTTAAAACAAATTTTGAATTGAAAATTATAAGCATAAATTTCTCAATATTTGAAAAGATTGCACTGATGTCAAGGATTAGGTTAGGTGAAATAGCTTTCGAGTAATGCTTTCTCTGCCCCCACCACTGTGTTTGCTTCTTCCTCAAAATCAAAAGCTCTATACGTGTGAAACTAAGTTTGTTTTTTCTATATTATGTAACGTTATTGCGTTTAATAACAAAATGTATTTGTAAAGCAGAGTGTAGGATGAATATGCATTACGTCTGAACTCCGAAAGAACCGAGTGTCACTACATGATAGACCGAACAAATGCAGCTGTGGCCGCACGCTGTCAGCTGTTGCTTGCGGCATGCTCGGTCTGTTGAGGGCTTGAGGCTGCATCGTTTTCGTTCCTATGACTATGAGTTCTAAGATGAAAGTGGAATCACGAGTCCTGTCATTAGTGAAGACAAGCATTTCTGGTCTTCGTGGCATCTTTATTGCTTTATCTTTGTTATAAATACAGTGTTTGTAAAACACTGTATTTAGTTGAAATATTTCCCCTTTAGTTTGCAAGCGTAATCTGTTAATATTCATGCATATTTTTGAGTCGTATGTGACCCTTTTCTCTCGGTACAAAACCAAAATCTGCCGTTGAGAGTAAATTTCTGATTACAAAAGTTAGGTAAACGATTTGTAACAATTTATAAATTTTGTCTGGCTTCTGATTCAGATTCTAAACCAACTTGAAAGTTTTACAATGGCACGTATCGGATTTTTTGTAATCATTCTGGTTGCGTCATCGCTTATTGTCACCTGCCGTTTCTTCAACTCCAACATATTTTGCCCAACTTTCTAATTAATGTCGTGTTCTTGGTAAGCCTCAATTCATAGCTACTTGTTCTTAACTTGAGATCGTCAGTTGATAACGTAATTTTTTTTAATAAATAATCCTCAGAAGGTGAGCTCATCAGACTACGAACTAAGACATGCGTATATCTTTCTCAAAGTCTCTTGTATATTACTTGTACTGTTGTGGCTCTCTATTACTTGTACTGTTGCGGCAACTGGTTTGTTGCTCTCTAGAAATTGACGATCGGTGAAGTTTTCCTTCTTTGCCCTGACACTGCATCTTTTATGGAAATAAATCTCGGGAAAATGTTCACTTCCTTGAACCAGGACACGAGACGGTGTCTCCTAAAGCTGGTCTTGGCATAATTTACCGCAACATTGTTTCTTATATATAATATACGCCTGTATGGATATTACTTGAACAATTCACTGTGGAAGATTTCTCGCTGAATTCCTCTTTTTTTATTAAAGCACTAGTGACATTTAAAAATCTACTACAGGTTCCAAATAATCGGAGAAATTCGAACCTTCTACCATAATTTCCATGATAGTTTCAATGGAAAACACTTTATATTATTAAATATTTTTAAACATTGAGAGAGTAGACGAGGGTGAAGGTTGAATTTACTCTCATTGAGCAAATTTTTTGTGGTTTCTTATAACAACTTCATTTCGTAGTTGTCATTTATGTTTCTCAGAGTTTGACTTTATTATGATTCGTATATAAAGTGATGTACTAAGATGGTGGAGCCAAATATTCATTTATATTTTATCAGGTTAAATCTCTGATACTAGGTAGGTTGGCGCCAAATATTCATTTATATTTATTTAATTTAATCTCTACACTCCATCGTATCCGATTTCCCTTTAGCACTAAGTATTGTTCTCGAAAAATGTAATGATTGTGCCACATAATAACTCAAATCCGGCGTCATTGTTTGGTAAAATATGTCGTATTTCCTTCTGTTTTGTAACATCCATGTGGACATTCCTTCAATAACCGGGAAACTCCTGTTGGTCGTGTAGATTTCCTGTTTGGGCGCTGGATTGGCTGGATTTGACAAACTTAAGCTTCCTATCAGACATCCTATGTTGAAATAACGTTCATTTAAAATAATAGATACTAAAATAGAATAGATAATACAAGCGTTGCTTCGAAAAAATTGATTAGTAATCAACTTTGTCTCTGCGGCATTTGCCTGAAGAGTTGGCGATTACTTGAGGTTAACAAAGTATTGTCGAGATGATGTCATGAAGCACACGTTAAAGAAATCGCGGTCAAAGTTCACGGAATATTAAAAAATTAGCTCATATTTCTAGGCTAACTCAATACCGTATATTTTGTATTTTTAGAAATTAATAGTTAGGATAAATTTCTGCATATAGGTAGGGTAATTATCTTGTTCGGACAAAGTTTATACAAAGTATCGACTTAACTTCTAATAGTTTCTACGCATGGAAATTATTAGAATTATATGCATTTTTTTCGAACAGATGTTTCTTCGTGGTCTCAACTTAATTTAAGTGATGATAGGCGATGATGAGGTTCGTCGACATTTATGTCCGGATTCTAAGTTGCCCTGAAACCTAGACTGACAATATTCTCGTCATTTTTTCATGAATCTACTGAATTATATAATATAATTCAGTAGTCTACTGAATTATATTACCCATTAACATAAATTGTTTGAGTTCTCCATAAAAAATAAAATCTGTTATAGGAGATGAACTGAGCGTATGAGCAGAAGAGACTCATCCAGCCCAGAAAAGTAGATTAGTTGTTCGCTTAACATGTTAATCGATTGGCACAATATCATTGGAATAAAATATTATCTAACTCAAAATTTTTCATAAATATCGACATGAATTATTTGAAACTTTATGTGAGTCAAGCTATACTCTATTTTTCTGCAATATCTTGAAAATTATCTAATTTATTTTAAGCGAAATACGAGTGGATAAACACTCGTGATTTCTCAGTAAAACAGTTTATTCTTATCTTATCGGAATAGCTCTAAATTCTGCTGGCAATAGCAATTTGTTTGACGCGCCTGCTTGTGGAGTTTATCTGTATTTGAATGGGGGCCAAATAATACACCAAGCCATCTGTATAACAGTGCTAAACTGTGATAATCGTGATAAAGTAAAGATACATATTTATAATGATTATTATTACAAATTATAAGTATATTATAACAATTTTTTTAGCTTGTTTCACTTTGATTGTCGAGATTCTGCTTTTAGCTAGAATGATGTGTCTTGGATTAGAGTTACAAACTTCACAGGATTAATGTGTCGGTATGTGCTTTGAAGACTGATATTAATTCTTTTATAGATGCATGCTTCAAGTTAATGCCTGATTGTTCTTATACTGAAGATGTTAAGAGTTGAGTTCAGGTGCTGCTGGTGCTGTTAAAAGTAGGGCTTAGGTGCTTAACCTGATTTAGCTAGGGCTTAAATCAGGCGGGCTGATTTAAGTATAATGTAAGTTTTTTCTGATTAGTTGGGCAGGTGAATCCAACGCATCAGCATAATATCTAATAAATAATATAAAAAAGATTAAAACAAGGAAACTCTCCGATTTATTTGTTCAATAAATGCAACGGTCATTTTTTACAGCTATGGTGAACTAGTTTAAAAAAAACTAACATCCGAACAAAAAACCCTCATATTCAATACCGCATTTTTAATGGTTTTGACATGTGTAAAGTGAAAGAACAGCAACTAAATTTGTGAATTGATTACGTGAACAGATTACGTGAACACTTTTGATCATCGCTGTCGTGGTGCATAGCAGGGGTTGCGATGTACCCTCTGTGGCAGAGAGGGTCTCAAGCCGACAAACCATCGAGCGTCTCGACCGGCAATGTTGGTCAGACGTCGTCGCGCGACGTTCGAGGCTGCGGTCAGACGTCGCCACGCGATCTGGAGGAACTCGATCGCGTCCAAGCCGGCGTCACAATCGGCAGCAACGGAGGCAAATACCGACGCATGGCAGCGAGTGTGGGAGACATGAGCTCAGGCAACGGTCGTATTTACAGCAACGGTTCCTATGCTAATGGAAGAAAACGATCGTGGTTTAAAGGAAACGATTCAGCAACCGTGGATTCCACAACAAACGGGAAATCTTCATTATTCAACACCATGGGTAACAAAAGCAGTTGCTCGTCGTCATCCCTGTTTCCTAACAGCGGTACTGGGTTCAACATCAATTCAACAAACATGCCCACGTCATCTCTGAATCAACACAACAACAGTCTATGGAACAGGAGGCGTACCAACAGTACCACAAACCTCCCCTCGTCTGCCTCGGGAGACAACGGTCTTCCCTCATCGGCGTCGGGGTCTCCCAGCAGAATTTTCTTCGCTAACGGATCGCTGAGGAGCGCCGCGGACGAAGATGCCGATAGACCGGTGAGTGAACGAACCGGTTGTGCGCGATATGTTTTTATAGTTGCTGTAACACTCGTCTAAAATTGTACTTCTTTACCCGCAAGTGTGATAGTGGCTTATATGTTGAACATAAACATTTTTACTGTATGGTCTATCTGAGTTAAGTGTATTCGTGAACTACAACCTTTTTATGTAAAGGGATAAGAATTAGACTGGAAAAATAAATTAATTTGATCTTTGCGTGTATTTTTCGAGAAGATAGCGCACAAATTACGTGGATAAAAAGTGCAATATGGTAAATCGCAATATGCGTTAAAGGTATGGTTCTCAACAACAGATTTGTGCAATACCCAGACAAAAGTTAAGTCAAGTTGAGTTCAAAAGTTAAGTGCCATTTAATAGTTATTTCTCTAGGACATCTAAAAAAATGACATGCCAAATAATTTTGACGTTGCAATAAAAAAATTGCAACGTATGAAAAATCAATAATCATACCGCGGATGCGAGATTTTCAATGCTGATACAACGAAAAGTGCAGACCCACGATGGTTTCTTTGTTTGGAAATTCTTAGTTCTTTTCAGGGGGGAGAATGTAAACAGTACCCACTGCACTGGTAAATTTGACGGTGATTTGCTAGCGCTTGGAGCCTTTTTCCTTACAAATTAACCGCAGAGTTGTGAGCACACAGAGTTCTCCAAATACTAGTGTGTATATTGCTCAAGTAACTCTATCGTATAACTCTAACACAGACTGTTTCTATAGAAGCATATGTTCGTAGTTGTGACTCTGCGACTGTTAGTACCTGCAAAGACGCTGTAAAATTAATCAATAGCACAGTGTTTCCGCAAACAAATTTCATGGCCCGTTGGACAGTGTTTTAGTAGACCGATGCGTTGCAACCGAAGCTCCTTATGAAACGAGCGTCAGGGAACAGACGCACTCAGTCAAGCGTCAAACGTTAAAAAGAAGACATCTGAGACCAAAAATTCAAGCATGACATCGGCCAAACACAAAGACTCCAACTCAGCTTCCATTCTTGCAGTCATACTTGGGATGTATACACACTATAATAGCTTAGCCATAAGCCCATAACATTACCTCATGGCTAGCAGTGAAGGTCACTATAAAGACTCGCGTCACTACAATGACTCACATCACCTCATGGCCTGCAGTGAACGTCACTACAATGACTAACATCACCTCATGGCCTGCAGTGAACGTCACTACAATGACCAACATCACCTCATGGCCTGCAGTGAACGTCACTACAATGACTAACATCACCTCAGTCTCGACTGACCCTCAAGACGTCAGGCATCAGCAGAGTTTGGCACGCGCGGTGGCGGCACTCGAGCTTCTGTTCTGCTTTCGTAGTTGCCGCTGCTCGGTCTTTCTGGCTGCAGTGGCGCATTTCGTTCGTAACCTTGAGACGTGAATTTTACACTAACGTTATTCGTATTCTAGATGCATATATGCACCATTCCATGCTTTTTGTTGCATGTCGTGTTTATGGTGGTGTGCTTTAGTGATGGCGGTGATGATGACGTGTTATCGCCTTCGGGGAGAATGTCAACAATATCCACGTGTCAACAATTTCTGAAAAATTAAATTCTCGTAAAACAGCAAGATAGAACACGCTCGATTTTGATTTGTTTAAACTGTGTTCGTTAAAATAGAAAATTTAAATTTGTCAAATTGCTTTTCTCTGCTTTTCAAAAATGTCATTGCCCAACCGTCGTTGTTAAGTAGTATATTGTTTATCTCTGGATTAAATTAATTGGAAAAAGAACTAATCGAAATTTAGAGCTTTCTAAAAGAGACGCAATTTATTGTCGTTGGCCTCAGCAAAACTTGGTTATAATGTCGGTAAGTGATGAAACAGATAAGTACTTATATCATTAGTCTGCTTATATCGCAAGTTCACAAGGAATTTAAAAGCAAAGAAAACGCTAAAGTGATTTTAGTCATTTTTAGTTTAGTCGAACTGATGATGGAGCTGGACTCCGAAACGTTTTCAATATCGATATGGTGAATTTTCTTGGCGTTTTCTTTGCTTTTAAATTCCTTATGAAACAGATATATAAAGGTTTAAAAATTTTATAATATCAATATATATATTTGGGAACAGCAGTTTGGTCGAATTCGAATGTTCGTAGGTATGAAGAATATCATAGTTATATTTTTTCTGCCTCCTGCCATTCGCATTTCGCGAGTTTGGCTCTTTTTTAATTCACAAGAACTTAGACTTGACATCATTACGAATATTACTCTCCGCTAGGTTATGATCAAATAAAGTATACATTTCAGGTGGTTCATCTGAAAATATAAAGGGTTTAAACAAGCACGTATTCACAGTCGGTCAAGATGTAGGTAGCTATCACTAGGAGTTGCTGAATTTTTATGAATGATAAATCTAAAATAATTAGATGTACAGCAGCCAAATTGGGACTGTATATTGTTTAAAAATTTTCAATTTGCAATCCGTTGATCCCAAGAGGAGAAAACGAGACGAAAGTCTCATGAATAGCGCCTGGTTATAACTTGCTTCTCATCACACAGAACCGTGTTTTAAATTTTGATGACTGTGATCATTTTAAACAATAAAAATGTTCAGAAAAATCATTGACTCAAGGCACGGCGATCAACTTCATTGCCGGCGATATGTATCGATATCATTCGCACGCAATTACGGATCCATATTTAATTAAAGCTTTATCCGCGCTCAACAATCATGTACGAATTTCAACCATGCTAATAGCAGAATTGTGTGAGGTAGACGCTATTACGTGAATGATATGTTTCTTGACCGTTAATACTTGGCAGTGTCCGAAGCCCTTGACGTGTATATAGTAAACTATTTATAGTCGCAAACACTGCAACCGGCTAAATAATTTGCAAATTTTATTCAACCGTGAGCGGCAATTCCGTCAATACATGATGTAGAAGTTGACAAGATGAAAAGCCTGAAATTATTTATTTCGAAACAATATTTCATCTATTAAATCATAACATCTCATTCATTAAATTTTGCTTTTTTGCTTGGAAATTATAGTGCTTTAATTTAATATATATTTCACGGAGAACCTTATAAGGCTTATATTAATGCTTTTTGGAATATGATGATCAATGTCTAATGGCAGGACGAAATGTTAATGGCAGGACGAAATGTTGAGCGCAGTATTAAAGTTCACCACAACACGCATCCACATACACTCGTGAAGCTTGAATTTTATTGACGAGTTATTTCTAGACTTAGTGTATCATAGTGAATTATATTAGTGAATTGATATCTTGTTGAAGAAAACTTGATTAGACTTGATAGCTGCACGCTGCCAACACAGTTCACTGAACTCGCTGACTTCTATGAATGCTAGGGCGGCCCTCAAAATTGGCGGCAGTATCTTGATCGTCTGATCTGAAAACGAGCAGAGTGTTAATGTGACACTAAATTGAAATCTTTAAAATACTAGTGGGACAACAAATTCATAATCATCTTGAAGCATCTCGAGTATATTTTCTCAATTTGATGTCATTTACTCATGATTGATTTATCTAAAGTTATGAAAAATGCGAGCACATATGACTGGAGCAGCTTTTTAATGATTGCTAAATTATATTGATCATATTCGTTCAAGCTTATCTCGTGATTCGATTGCATACTAAATTTTTGTGAATAAATTCTCGTTGATTGTAGGTGACATCACGGTTTATTATGTGCCGGATCAAACGTTACAATTCAGCTTCATATGAGCGGTTGGCTCACTATAGATATTTACCAACGCCATTGTTTTGGAAGTCAAGTTGTCTATTCTGTGGCGTTCTTCGAACTGTCCTTCCCCTATCACTTCGGTAGCCCGTGGCCTAATATTGACTGCCTTAAGTTTTTCTTAGTTTTACTTCTGTCTGCAGAGACAAATAAAGACTTAACCTTGCTGTGCCAAAAGAGAGTTTTTAATGAATGTTCCCTTCCGCTAAATCCTTTTATTTCGGGGTTCGAAGTTTTGTTTACAGGAGCTGATTGAACCGTCGTTAAGACAAGCGTTATAGGCTTAGCGCTCGCTATTTATACGACTCGTTGACGCAGAGGCCACACTCAGCAACAATGAATGGATCATATTGTCCAATTGGTGATGTAATCTTTCTCTACGTAGTACTGAAATATAATCCCTTTTACGAGCCAAAGGTGGTCTGGTTGACCCAGACAGGCCTAAAAGTGCATGGCTATACGTACAAAGTTTCACTGATGTTTCTGGAGGTAGTACCGATTTTTTCGCAACCTATGAAGCGAAGTGAGGCTAAGTTCCCTGCAAACTAGCAAGTTTCACTGGGTCTATAATAAGATGTAGATGTTAGGCTGAACTTAAACGAACGTGTTGAGTGTTTGTGTTGTTGGTGCAGAGTTGGCAGAGCTGCCATGGCCTGTGTTGCCAGAGCCAAGGCTTGTGCCAAAAACCTTCCCTGCAACGCCATCTGCGAACCACTCATAAAATCAGCGAGACCTTGTCCATAAATCAATGCATCTTTTTGACTTGTGTGGGTCATACTGGCCCAGTTTAGCCCAGAAATAGGACGTATCGGTGCTACTCAGTCTGCTCGTGCTATAGATTCGAAAGTATGTCACTAATTGGAAAATGTGAACCATTCATTTTTCTGTGTGTGGCTTCGGTGCTACTCAAACTCGACCTAGACGCACGTCATCATATTTTTAACACTGTTCAAAATTGCGTGCGCTTCGTGGAATTATTATTTGTTTTTTTTTTGTATGGTTTAATGGATCGTTTCATGACAAGTTAGGGTATTTTTTATTCTGACCGAAATTGCGTGCGCTTCGTGGAATTACTATTTGTTAATTTATTATATGGTTTCATGGATCGTTCCCTGACAAGTTAGGGGATTTTTTTATCCTTGACCGAAATTGCGTGCGTTTCGTGAAATTATTATTTGTGTTATTTTATTATATGGTTTAATGGATCGTTCCATTACAAGTTAGGGGAATTTCCATCCCTAACCGAAATTGCGTGCGCTTCGTGGAATTATTATTTGTTAATTTATTATATTGTTTCATGGATCGTTCTCTGACAAGTTAAGGGATACATTTATAGAGAACCTTGGCACATCATAAGTCAGGTGTTCGTCGAAGGGCATTTGGTTAGTGTTTTTATTTTTAAGCAATAAAGCGAAGCATTAATGAGGTAAGACGGGCAGTTGTCGTTAAGTTGGTCGTTACGATCTGGCCTGGTTTGATAGATCGTCAGTTTATTGTCAATCTCAAGGCTGCTGATCCCTAATCTGGCATAATTTTTACTCTCTTATATTTACCTAAATACTAAATAAAAAACCTTCTGTATTGTTATCCAGTATGAATTGTTCTTTAAAGATACTCTTGAATGCATGTGAACCCAGTCTGGAAATTATTCGGTCATACGTGAATGTGTTTTATTTATAGTATTGAAGTGATTCGAACTTAACAGATATGGACAATTTCGTCCGCGTCTTTTTATGTATTTATACTGAATTCTCCAAATAATTCCTTATAAAATAATTACATTCAGGGTTCTAAATCGGATTGTAGAAAAATGGCAAGTAATTGACAAAATAGCGCATTTATTTAGTTATTCAAAATGTCAAAATGTATTTTATAATCGCGAAAGGAAAATTTTCTCGAAATTTTATTTTTTGGTGTATCTTTAACCGTACTATATACAGCGGTTATTGCGACTCGTGTAAACTTGAAGCATTATTTACACCTATAAACCGCACGTGCTCGTATATATGAAAGCTATTATACCGAGTTTATGTTTGGATATCTCTTCTCAGATTGTGATTCGCAAATTTTTACGTAATGGATTTCGTTAAACGAAATTTGTGTACGTAAAGGATTTCTATAAACGCAATTTGTATGCGATTTGTTACAGGTGCGCGGCTCCTCTACAAGCCCTCGCACTCCCCACAGTCGCGGCTTCTGGCTCCAGCACCCAGACGACATCCACCAACAGTGGGTCAAAACTGAGACCCCCGACACACAAACCCCCTGTGCCACGTCTGACTCTGACGTCTCAACGCTCACGTGGCCTCGAGGAACTTCTTTATCCTCAGGAGGAAGAAGCACTCCCGCTGGGGACTTGAGACTTGCTGGGGAAGTCGAGGAAGAATCTCAGCCAAAGACTCATGATAGAACTGAAGCTCCTGCGACCTTGCCTCGCGTCTTCAAGAGTCAAGCAACATGGGTGAGTGAACGCTAAGTTTACTTATTCTGTGAAATTTAGATAAATTTGTCAGCATTATAACATTATTTATGGATGTAATCAATTTATATTGAGGTTATATTATTATATTGAACCTAAGGTTTCATAATTGCACTCTCAAAGCAGCATTGGTTTTGCGGTGTCAAGCGAACTCTAAAATATTCGTATAATTTTCAAGAAAAGCAGCAATTCTGCAAATAATTTTCGAATGTCACCACACCCATATTTTCAATTCACCGAACAATACCCAGACATGTGAGTTTTTATATATCAAATCAGTTTACAATTTTCCCATGTTTGTAATCATAATTCCCAGAATTACAAGCTGAGTCAGACTGTAGCTCTTGCTCATTCGAGTCAAACTTGTGACCAAATATGGAGTCGTAAGCCGTCGGCTCCACGAGTCCAGTTGCGCTGCGTCATCATGGCAGGCTCGTCGCTCTGCCCTTTGTCTACGACCGACATTTCGTCTGTCGTAGTCCAATGAACTTGAAAGATGTCAGTCCAGTTCAAACGATCCAATAAATTATGACAGAATCGCTCAAAGTTACCTCCAGCAATACATTTTACAGCCTTTTAATATGATCGCTCATTGCCGGTATTTTATATGCTATCGAGCAATAAGCTCAATTTGCATCGCATTAATATTTTTTAAAATTAAATACGAGTATGTTACATACATTCGATCTATAGCAATGAATTATTGCTTGAAATTGGGTGTTCATATAAAAAATAGTTTTACACTCCGGGACATTTTCAGCGGACCGTGACTCAAACAAGTTCTATTAGCCGCGTTGCATTCAAGCGTTGCAACAATTTTACCAGGAAAAATGACTAATATTTTTGAATTCGCAAATCCATCCCATTTGAAGCGCCGTCGGATTAAAAGAAAGTCTGATCAAATGAAACTACAATCGTCAACTAATTAATGAAACAATTTTTTATCTATTCTTAATGATGTATGAGTCATTAATAATTATATACGTACAATTAACTACTATCTGTTACCTAGCTGAAATGATGTGCGAACCATCAATAATGATATGCACAAAAGAACAATAATGATGTGCTCGATGCTTGTAGCTCGATCTGTCATAGCACGCTCTTGGCTCTCGAATGCTACCGTATATACTCCTCATTGCTTCCGTAACGTAACCATTAAGGGGAGTATTGTAATCATTATTTTATTCAGCATTGTATTTATGAATTACAAAACATATATTTTATATCATGCCATAGTGTGTACGGGAATTTTTTACATGTGCTGTTGTATATATTTTGATTTCAGGAGTATAAATGCCAGCGAGAACTGACGGCGTCTAGATATATATTCAGGATAGGAAAATTATCTCTATTTTTATTACGATATTGAGATGTATTTTCAGAAGTTTTTGGAAGAAAACACTGTCCTTTGATTTGACGAGAAAAATTCGATGGTCTATGTAAAGTTCATTATTTCAAATGGCGAAGACGTTGACCGTATACGGGATTATCTCGGTTCATGTATTCCTCGAGAAAAAAAACCCTCTTGTCTGGGTTTGTGGTGGCTTGCGTTTCTCTGAACTTTGTCGCCTTATAAGGCTGTTGTTTACGGTGAGGGCGGCGCCCCTCTTACAGGAACATTTCTGTGCCGCGCTGCTGCGGTCACTAGCCTCGTGGCATATCAGCTGCTGCTGCTGGTGCTGTTGGTGATGCTGGTGAGGGTGGTGGTGCTGCTGCTGCTGGTGAGGGTGGTGGTGCTGCTGCTGCTGCTGCTGGTGAGGGTGGTGGTGGTGCTGTTGCTGGTGATGCTGGTTTTGGCGGTGCTGGTGCTGCTGGTGAGGGTGATGCTGATGCTGGTATTGGTGGTGCTGGTGAGGGTGGTGGTGGTGCTGTTGCTCGTGATGCTGGTATTGGTGGTGCTGGTGAGGGTGATGGTGGTGCTGCTGGTGATGCTGTTGGTGATGCTGTTGGTGATGCTGTTGGTGATGCTGTTGGTGATGCTGTTGGTGATGCTGGTGAGGGTGGTGGTGGTACTGTTGCTGGTGATGCTGTTGGTGATGCTGGTGAGGGTGGTGGTGCTGTTGCTGGTGATGTTGGTATTGGTGGTGCTGGTGAGGGTGGTGGTGGTGGTGTTGCTGGTGATGCTGTTATTGGTGGTGCTGGTGCTGCTGGGGATGATGATGCTGCTGGTGATGATGCTGGTGGAGTGGTGGTGCTGGTGCTGCGGGTGGAGCTGGTGGTGCTAGTGCCCCCTGTAGGCAAATGTAGGCTGTTGCCCCATGTTGGCAAATGCCTCCTGTACGAGTTCATTTCATTGAAACGACGTTCTTTTAAACGTCAAATGCCTGATGCATGGGCCGCTGCTATCGCCTCTCTTTGTCCACAATACCTGTGAAAATTTCAACACGGTGCGAGCTGTGAAGGACTTGCTTCACACACAAAAGATTGGAATGAATTAGCGTTTTTAAGCGCTGTATTTTGTTAGTTTATCTCATAATAGTTAACCATGTTACGTTTTTTAGAAACATCATTGAGAAACCCTACTATATGTGATTAAAATAACAGGGAGTTTCACAAAGATCCTTTTGGCATTTTCGACGATTCTTGACCTAATCTCAGGTAAAGGAAAAGGCAATGATGTCGGTGCTTCTTACAGTAAAATTTTTGGGAGATAAATTCCGATCAGGATCTATGAAATCGTTTCAACAATAACAAATTTCTACGTCAAAACACGCAGTGAAATTCTCCTCAATTTATGATATACGTGATTTTTTTTATCTCGTTACCCTTAGACCGAATCCTATGTAATTACTGCTAAAAAATAAAATTTTATTAGCTGATAAAAAGTACTAAGCATCGCAAGGATACCTGCATTTCAAATCCAGTCTATTTAGTTACTTACGTGACGCACCTTTTGGCGCCTACAAATAACAAAGGCAGTTTTGACCACCGAAATTTGGGAAATACTTCATGCGCATCGACTCTCTCACAATATCCAATTGACTCCAATTTCCTGAACTGTCTTTTGAATCACACCTGAAATATCTTGACGTGATCAGAATTATTTTGATTATTTCTATTTCTAGTTTGAAAGAACATCAATCGAGGTCAAGATTTTATCGTCAATGAAGATGCCGACAATAGATTATTAGAGCATCGAACGAGTTAAAGTATTTATTTCATATACAGCAACGATTGAGTGTTTACATGGCCCATGACTCTCCCTGCCAACCGTATTAGTGATTTCTCAATCACATTAATTACATTTTTTACAGCAATTAAATGGTAGCTGCAATTACGATCAATTTATTCGGGCGGACAAATAACTTTATCTAATAGTTTTAGATACAATTTCTATGCACCACAAATATGAAATGACTTTCTCACAATCAAGATCTTTCCAACAGTCATGACTGTTGTTGTCCGTTATTTTAGACTAAAATCATAAATAATGTGGTTTTCTTTAGCGCTTGGCAGTATAAAAGTCATTTGTTACTGTCGGCTTTACCAATAATTTATTGCAGCTAGATGGGCAGAAAAAACGCGTGCTTGATTTAGGTAGGAAGTTATGTACAACTTTTCTGATAAATTGAAAAAAAATACTTTGAACTTATTGATTGAAGGTAATGATTTCCCATGAACTTAGTAGTAAGTTAGACATAATCAAGATGGCTACTCCATGAACTCTTACACTGACAACGGAGATAGCGTTACAGCGACCACACACCCGCTTTATATAGAAACTCATTAATATTAATTAATGTGGTTATCCTCTAATTTGCTCTATAATAATTATCATTTCTTATTCGTAATGCCGCATTTGATTTTTGTTCAGAGACAATAAATTAAGTTCATTGAAATTTCCACCTCTAATATTTTAAAACAACTGAAGCAACAATCACAGTTCGCTATTTTAGTATAATTACGCTAATTAAGAAGAAGAAAAAAGAAAGTGAGATGTTAAGAAGAATGCGATGTTACCGAAACTAGGATCTGTTGAACCCAATTGAAGCTTTATGAACCCAGCCGAACCCAATTGAAGCCTTGACTGTAACCGATATCTAATTTTCTGGATTCTTGCCATTTGTAGTCCTCGACCTAATCTTGCTGAACATTGCAATCTCGAATACAAATTATGAATATTTTACTATGTTGTAATTTGTACTCATGCTCAGAAAAATATTGCAATAAAATTAAGTTTCAGAATCAGATTGTAGGTAACATTATTCTTGACCATCCTGTCCAAGAGCTTGTCCATTCTTGACCATCCTGTCCAATAGCTTGTCCATTCCCATTGTACCATCTTGCCCAAGAGAGCTTGTCCATTCTTGACCATCCTGTCCAAGAGCTTGTCCATTCTTGACCATCCTGTCCAAAAGCTTGTCCATTCTTGACCATCCTGTCCAAAAGCTTGTCCATTCTTGACCATCCTGTCCAAGAGCTTGTCCATTCTTGACCATCCTGTCCAAAAGCTTATTGTCCATTCTGGTGCAGTGCGTGCTCCGCCGATCCCATTGTACATAAGGCTTGGCGATCCCGTTAAAAAAATGGCATCGGCCATCCCGTTGAAAGGCTCGGTGGCTACGAGTCTCATATGTTTGTGTGTATTTGATTTTAAAGTATCAGGCGAAATGTTTAGGCCCACACTTCTCTCCTGGATCAGCGTGACCATTCATTATTTTCTATTTCACTCGCGCTACATCAATATATTCTGAATGTTATCTTATTACAAAAAACAATGCATCAAGTTTCACCAGATTCTCGTTAATTTCGATTCCAGATATGAAAGCAAATTCAAGTTTTTCGGCTCAAATTTGAAACGAATTTTGTTGAATTATTTCATACGACCATGACTGCATGAGGTGGATCTAAGATCACAATTACTATGAAGGCAGAGTAACTAACAAGAAAAGTTGTCAAAAATTTTGGTAACTTCTTTTAGGATCGCGAACTTGAAATTTTCTTACTAAGTTCAGTTTTTCGATGAATGAACTTGAATT